GAGAGTTAAATTATCACTTATTAGGTCCTTTAAGATCCCTTTTCACTGCTGCCTTTGAATACTTTCTTGCACAGAGGAATACAAAGGTTTTTCTCTTATACCCATTAGTTCCTTTTCCCTCCAAAGTGCACCGTTTAGCCCTGTGCAATATATATTGCCAGAAAATCAAGATCAACAACAACAAGCCCACAATTGCACTCAGCAGAGTCAATAAATGGCACATTTGACTCTCTCTCATACTATTTTGAACCAAGTTCTCACACAACTTCTGCCCTGACACCTCATCCATCAGCTCTTAAAGCACAAGAGCAGCACCCCACAAGCAAACCTCTTCTCTCCTATGCCATCTCCAGAGTTGAGGCCCAGATGAGAAACAGCCTTATCTTCCAATATAGCAAGGATACACCTCTAAAATCAGACCTTGGCAATTTGGCCTAAAGCTATCCTTACTTGCAAAACAAAGTCTCCATCATCTTCAGAGCAAGAAGGAAAGAGAGTGAGAGGGAAAACAGGGGTGGGGGTAGGGGGGAAAGTCCAGTCCTCTCTGACCTGATTGGAAACTTTGTTGTGGCAAAAAGAAAAAAAAAGAATCTCTTTGGCCAGTTGAGAAAGTGCCTATGGTTGCTCTTGTATTGGGAGGGTCTGTTCAGGGTTTCTCAATCTTCTTTTCTCTCTCTCTCCCCCCTCTCTTTCTCCCCTTCTCTTGTTTCAAAAGGGGCCTCTGGTCAGCGCTGATTAATAAGTGTTTTTTGTTGTGAAGTGTTGAATAATAGAAGATGGCCAGTGACCCAGGAAAGACTAAACCTTGTGCTACTTTATTGTGGCAAGCTGAGAAAGGGGCTTTAGGACAGAGACCCCAAGCACTGACCCGCACACATCCTGTGGATTCCCTATTCATTCTCACAGCCTTCCAGTCGCCCAGAGCTCCCATTGTTTGCCAAGCAACAATGGAGATTTTGCACAGAAAGTAAAGCTCTCTTCGGATTCCTCCCTGATGTTTTGCATTTGGGGAAACAACCATTCTTAACAGGTTTTATTTTTCCCTATACTGAATTTCATGAAAACTCTTAGGATTTGGGCTTTTATTCTCATTACTCAAGACTTTCTCTACAAACCTAAGAAAACAAACATTTTCTCTTAATAATTTTTTTTTTTTAATTGCATAACACATTTTTCCTGGGGTACTGCTTCCCTAACGATTTAAGGGAAAAAGTGAAGTTTCTTTTCTTCTATTTCTTAGCGTATCAGTATATTTTAATGCACACTACATATCACTGTAATTCCTAAAAATAGCAGTATTCAAGCACACTCTTTTTTGAGTGAAAGCCAACTGGAGAGTGCTGCTTCTTTCAAAAAAAAAAAAAAAAAAAAAAAAGGCAGAAAATTGAAACTTCTTAGTTTATTTCTGCCCTGATTAGGCAAGCCTAGCTTTTATGTCCTCGAAGGCTGGCCCTTTCCCCACACTCCAAACAAAGAGTTCATCCACAACCACCAAGGAGGGCAAATGCCACTCCATAGACTTGCTCTGATTTACCTGTAGGGTCCAAACCACATTTCTCATTTCTCATTTCTCAACCTAGGCATTTATTTGTAGTCTAACCATGTGGATAAAAACTCTTGCAGTTGTCGAGCCTTTGGGTAGCAGAACAGTTAGACGAATCAAAGGCCTCAGGATCTCAGAATTTTGTTTAATTGCTTTCTCTGGCCTGTTATAAACAGATTTTTATTCCTCTATGGAATCCACTTACACATGTCACCAAGTGGCTAGGAGGTTTGGGTGTTTGGTTGTGCCTTGCATTTGCAGGTTTTGTGTCTTCTTGTGAATTTACTAGGCATTAAAAAAACAAAAACAAAAACCCAAGCCAAAAAAACAACAGCACACACAACCAACCAAGAGCAGGAGGAGGTTGCAATCAATAGGACAAATTCCTGTTAAATTGCTAAGAATGGGATTTCTTCTCCCTCGGTTATTTGAATTTATAAGTGACTGAGCATTATAAGTCCTGATAAAAAACCATTTGATAAAAAACCATTTTATCAGGACCATTGGTTTCTCTCGGCGTTTACACCTGCTTAGGGAGGTCTAGAAATCCACTCTTTGGAGGTGAGGAAGAAAAGACCAGTCTTTCAGAGGAACCTTTAACAAGTGAAGGGGGAACAACAGTCTTTATTAAGGATATTGGGTAGCAGAATTACCTTGGCGGGGGCGGGAGGCGTTGTAAAACATCCATGTGCAAAAGGCTCTCAGGCTGAAACCCTTTCATCGGTGGCGAGGGGAGGGGGAGGCAGGGCGGGGGCTCGCAAACCCCCAGCTATCTCCATTTGTCAGTGCCACAGAGGAGGGGTCGTAAAGCCAGCGGTGCGGAGGGGTGGGCTGCCCGGTGGTCCGCCAGCCCCGCACACCCAGCGGCTGATGCACGAAGCGGGACGCGGCTACAAGTGCGCTGAGAGCGCCGGGCTCAGCCCGAGGCATGCCGGCCTTTCACTTTCATGCCCACCACATCAACGCTAGGAAGAAGGGGGGAAGGAGAAGGGGGGCAAGGCAAGCGCCTTGCCGTATTGTTCCACTGCCGAATTGATATGCTAATTCCCCTTGTGAGGGCATCACAAAGAACACCTTGCACTTCTGAAAGACTTTTGTGTCCTGGACGGAGAAGTTTATTATCAACTAATTAGCAACAACTTCTAGCAATGAGTAGGGTTACATTTTCATAAGCTTTGAACAAACATCCCGAGCTGCGTTGTGTCAGGATGATGGGCTCGCTGAGGAAAATAGAGTCCTAAATCAGGGAATGAGCTTTAATAATTAGCGCCTGCTATATATGGAACCTCTGTCGACGTAGGTCTTCTTCCGAGGCTTTTGATTCACGTTGCTTCCAGGCTTGCAAAGGACCATGGCAAGCACTCTACAAAACAAAATCTTACTCAGGGATGACTAGCCATTTTTTCCTTCATAATAAGGCTCTTTTCTTCCAACCGAAGAGCATTTCAGACTACCCCGACAATGCACCAAGGATAATCAGTATATGAAGAAGCTCAGCACAATTAAACATATTCATATTAAATATTATTTTGAGAGGCTTGTTGTAGGCAGTCTAGCACTTCAAATATAAAAAATCGTCTGGGAAACAGGAAGGTCATATTTGGAATTACAAAAAGGAAACATCCATAAATTTCACGGGTTTTCTCTTAGTTTGGAGGTTTTATTTGTTTGTTTGTTTTATTTTTTGTTTGATTTTTATTTCTGTGATACTCCTATTATAGTCTTTCCAAAGAAGGAAGAGCCGGTTTCAGTACTAGGTTAGCTCAGTCCTCTTCCTCTGGACTTTCTGTATCTTTGGAAGCAAAAGGATATGGTGTTTCCTTGGTTGAAAGCAAAACTAGGAAAAAACAAAAGGACTTTATTTTTATCACTGTAGTAAGTGCTAGTTATTTTCTTATTGACTTTATGCAATCAAAATAGAGCAGAAAAAACCCTCTGAAGGTAAGGATGTTCTAGGGTTTACTGATAATTCTTATTGACTGGGAACAACATACTTACAGCTCCACATTTTCGTGTGGGGTTTTGGCTTTTGAGGTGTGTGATTTGACAGAGGGAGGAGGTGGGTGGGAGTAACATATTGCAGTTCAAATCAGTACTAGGTTGATTTTGGAGTTTATACATGGGGCTCCAGTGTGGCCTTCCAAAACCTGTCCTGGTCCTGAGGAAGCTACAAGCCTTGGGCCCATACTGGGATGCAGAAGAAAGCAGATCAGCTGTGGCTGCTTTTGCAATTCACCTTATTCTCTGCTATTCCATTCATTTAATGGGTAAACACACTCTCCATCACTTGGTCTCTTTCTGTCCCCTTCTCCAAACCAATTCATTTGTTTAAAATCCTAAAAGGTGGTATAAGGTCTTATTGAAACCCAGCAACGTAAGGGGTGGGAGTGGATTAGATTCCTTCATTTCCTTTCAATAATCCTAAATGCAGCTATCTCTGGTTCCTTAATCTCCTCTAGAGTCGGATTACCACCCATTTGAGCAAGTGCAGCTGGAATTAGGAGATGACAAGCATGCAAAGAAAGTGCCAAGAACTCCTGAGGTGACCAAGATGTCGGGGTGGCCCTGGCCACCCCGCAGTGCCCAGGGGTCCCTCAGGGCCCTGGACCATGGATCGAGGGGACGGTGAGTGGCGCTGGCCCGGGCAGTGCCCACTGGCACCCAGCACGGACCAGCCTTTCTTCTTGCTGTGGTTCCGCAGCTGCAGGGCCACCGCTGGGTCGCTTTGGTGCTTCATTTGCATCCTGACAGACTTCTGCCAGCCCCGCGGCTCTCTGACATGACCAGGCTAGCCACACTCTGCCGTACACGAAGATGTAATATATATATATATATACACACATATGTACACACGTACACAGGGATGGCTGTTCCCACATTTGCCAGAACAAAGAATTGACATAAAACAGTCAGTGAAATGTGGTGTAAGTTCGACCTTGCTTACGCTTTTCTCTGTCCACCTGGAAAAAAGTCAGCACACATTAAAACACATGTATGTGTGTGTGGTTACTTTTTGAAACAATGACTCATATTTGATTGAAATGGAATATGCTACCATGTATATTTAAGATTAAAGCTTTATTTTTAAAGGCCTGTAATCCTTTCAAGGAGATTTTGTTGATATAAGACTTCATCAGAAAGTAATTGTGGATTGTATAGCTCTGACCTTTGCAGCAAGCAGGGTGCAGGTCTGCACAACTGAGAAATACTGTGCATCAATTTCTTGGGAAACCCCTCAAGACCAGCTAAATATGCATACAAGTTCAAGAATTTATTTAAAAGGTTGCAATTAGTGGTTCAGTCGTCAAAGTTGGGGATGTGGTATTTTTATACTGAGTGAAATACGTGATTTAAATATACTTTAAAAAAAAATATAAGGCCAGGCCTTCTACACAAACTGGAGGCAGCTAAATGCTCTTTTGTGCCTGCAGCTCTAAGGAGGCTGTGATGCATGTGAAGGAAAGTGACTGAGTTAACTCATTGGGATTCAGGGAACGACCTGCCCTCTTTTGGAAAAAAAAAAAAAAAAAAAAAAAAAAAAAAAAAGGCAAGAAGAAGAAAAGTAAGTGTGTATGTGTGTGTGCGCGTGTTCGTGTTCCTGTATGTGTGTGTGTGAGAGAGAGAGAGAGGAGAGAGAGAGAGGAGGGGGAGACTCACACAGAGTCCTGCTTTTCTGAGCTGAGAGCTGACGGTTCCTAAGCAGAAAGTATTAGGAGAAACACAGCATCTTGTCTCTTTGCTGCATTTACACAATGAAATCACTTCTATTTTTATTCCTGCTAACCGACCGGTTTTGCTTGAATCCACTCCGAGCGATGGACAATGGGAACAAACAAGAACTTAAAAACTACTAGGAAAAAAAAAAAAAAAAAAAAAAAGAGGAGAAAACCCCAAACAAACCCAACCACGCTGGGATGAGGATTACTCACTTTAGCGCTGGCTGTAAGTACGAGGTCTCTTGCTGTATTTCAGAGCGATAGTGACAGGCTGTTGTTTAGGTTGGGGTTGCTGCGGTTTATTTTGATTCTTTGTTGGTCTACCTTTTTTTTTTTTTTTTCCTATCACCCCCTCTTTATCAGTCTTCTGCCGACTTACTGAGATAAGAAAATAATAGCGGGTGAGGGGCGGGAGGCTGAGTGGAGCGCGACGCGGCGGCAGGGCAGCAACCGGGGCTGCGGGGCTCCGCGGGCGCGGAGGAATGTCCGGAGCTGGCAGTGCGGGGACCAGAGGACTGTTTTCGGCATCACTTTGTGGGCTTAACTGAAAGGAAAATGCGGTGGTTTTTTTTTTCTTGGCACGGGAATTTGCTCGCCTGTGTGTGTGTACATACACATCCCCAGGCAGCGTGGTCTGCTCGGGTCTGTGCAGTACATCGTGCGTCCGCCCAGCTTGAAGGAATGCGGTGGTCAAAACAGCTTTCCAGATGTTTGGTATCTTACGATTCCAACTCTCCCCCCCCCCCCCGCTCCTCAAGTGTAAATGTGATAGTGATATTTTTCCCTGGAAGGATTTGCTTTAAATAAACTAAGACCAGAACTGTCTCCCTCTTGCCTAACCTAGTTGCTTTTCTCGCCCTCCCTTTCCTCCTTTCTTTCTTTATTTCTGTGAGAACGCTCCTGGGAAAGCGGATCGGTTGGAGGGGAAGGCTTTTGAAATCGTGGGGGAAAATGTAAGAGAATTGAGAGGGTCCGGGCTTTCTTTGTGTGGTGCTGAAGCCGCGGAGCTGCTTTGTGCTTTGGAAGGAGAAAATGGCGAGTCCTATTGTGTTTAGGCCGTTTTCTTCCGGTACAAGGGTTTTCCCCCAAATCTTAAATACTTCAGGGCTCTTTTGAAAGAAATCTCACAGCCTACGAAGTGTAAATGGCTTCAGCTCTGCCTTTTCCCCAGCCAGTAGCACCTCACATTCGAGAGATCCCACACATTTCTCCTTTGCAGGGCTAGTGCACAATTTCTAAAGCTGCTGCATTCAGACCCTCTTGCAGCGGAGGGGCTATTTCAGCTGCTCTTTACAAGCGTTATTCAACTCAGGAGAGCAGGTTATGAGAGAAGTGGGGACGGAAGAAATAACATTACGAGACCTGTCCTTCCTTTTAAATGTTAAGGAGCAGCGTTAGCCAATTATGTGTGTGTGTGTTTATGTGATCTGAGAAAAGATTCGTGAAGCACAGTCTGACTTTTCCACTAAATTATTTAAACTTTATGTATGCATACATATATGCGTATGACGCAGAGAGTGTATCTGTGTGAGCGTGCATGTAGCCACGGAGCAAGATCTTTCTTTTAGGTTCGGAAAGAGGCCATATATACGTAAACTGAGATTTTAGCGCACATTTAACCACTGTGTGCAAGGTATTCCCGTTGCAACGTGCAATGCAAAAAATAGTTTGCAGTGTTGTCAGTTCTTTTCAGGTCAGCCCATAGGTAGGTACCAGTTACCAAAAACAGCTTTTGAATTTCCACGTTAATCCGTTTAAGGAAACAAATGAGAGTCCGAGGTTTAAACACTCTTGTCCGATATTAACCACTTTACATTAGAATGTGGGCTTGCTCAGGCGTCAGTGATTAAAAGCTCTTTGAAACAGGAGAGCTATCAAACAAAACCCAAGAAAGGTAAATCCTCACCACCACCACCACCACCTCCTAAGGTTCTGAATTTAAAAAAAAAAAAAAAAAAAAGCTTTATTAATAATCACAACAAAGTAGAGGCGTTGGTGGAAGTGCCTCGGAGGGGTCGCAGGCTCCCCGGCCCTGCGGTGGCGCGGGCGACGCGGGCGCGGAGGGGCGCGCAGGGCCGCCCGCACGGCCGCGGGAGCAGCGCCCGCTGCCGCCGGCGGGTCAGGACCATGGACAGAGACCGGGAACAGACGGGGCCGGCCCCTGTCACCCCGTGAAAAGGGGGTGAGCGGGGCTGCCTGCCTCCACGGAACGCCGACGGCCCGGGCTGCTCTGTTTTTCTTGCTATCCCTTGCGTGTTGCTGCTCAAATTTCTAAGCAAAATACTTGAGAAATTACATTTATAATTCTCCTGCAGGAGAGCAAGTTCTGTTAAAATGCCATGATAGGGATTTCTCTTCTTACTACCTGCAAAAGAAGTAAAAGGATCTCTCCATTCTGCATACGAATGCTTTTTTCCCTTCAACTCCGAGCCAAAAATAAACCAACCTACTGCTCGGATCGGCTGAATGACAGTGGTGTAAATTAAATTGATTTTATCAGTGACCAAGTTCCACAATTGGAAAAATTAAATGCCACTTTGACAGACAAGGATAATATGGAACAGATCTATAAAACAGCTCCTTTGAACAACAACAACAACATCAACCCAACAGGAGTCTAGATATGGCGATCCCGTCTTCTTCATCCCGCTTCGTTATGTCACATCATCTACTTTGCCTTTCTACAGAACCGAAATGATTGAAACCATTATTTGATGCAAAGGGACTAGCGATGATGAGTCATGGACTTTATGCCACAGCAAAGGCAACAGACATGATTCTCAGGCAAATTTTTTTATTTTGATCGTGCTTCTAATTGGATTCCCTTTTCAGATGCATTTTGCGGCACTTTCAACCCACCCCACAGCTCCAGCAAACTCAGGGCTGAGCTCCGGGAAGGACAAGCCGCTCTACCTCAACCTAAGAATCGCACAAATGCAAATTCCAAGTCCTTTAACCAGGAAAAGCCCTACTTCTGCACCTGCCGCCGGGCTCCTTAAGGCGAGAGGAGGCCTTGAGCCACCTTCGCCCTTCCTGCATGCCCTAGTTCTGCCCGACCCGGCTCGGCTCGGCTTGGCTCGACTCGCTGCCCGCTCGATGGGGCCTGCCTGCCGCAGAGACACCGCGTAGCTCCGGGCCCGGGGGAACGAGCTGTCTCCGCAAGGAGACTGAACCGCTCCCGCCCGCTGCCCGCCGCTGCCTCGCCGGGACGGGCACAGTGGGAACAAAGCCCGCGGGGCATGGAGCGGCCTGGCCCGGCTCCGTCGTGCTCCTGGCCTCTTACTGGGCTCCAGGGTGCTGCGGGCGGGAAGCTGGGGCGGCGCTGGGCCGCGGGGCGCGGCAGTGCCGCAGTGAGGGGGGGTCGGCTGCCGTGCGGGGAGGGTGACCTCTGGGTGAGCCGGCGATCAGGCTCCTCTTCCTCGTTGTGACTGTACAGATTCATGTGACATTGAGGTTGGGGAGGTGGAAGGAAGGCGGGGGAGTTGGGGGAGAGGACCCAGAGGGAAGGGGGAGGGATGAACTTTCTGCCGGGCTCGGCTTTTCACACCTTTCTCTCCTGATGATGCGTGAGGACGTTTTGGGAGAGAGTGGCTTGGCGGGGTCCCCTCCGAGCAGGTCCCCCTCGACCTTGAAGGGACCCGGCCGAGCGGCGCGGGTCTGGGATTGTGCCGGGTTTCAAGGACACGGGAGATGATCAGGACTTTGGGAGCCAACATCTGCCTGGCTGGTGACGTCAGCAACCCCGTGTAATCCTCTTGTACTGAAGGCAGATGCCTTATTTGTTTGGCTGGAGAGGCATTAATCCCTAATTCTGGAGCAGCAAGCGAGGGGGAGAGACCGGACCGCTTTCTATCCCCCGAAAGCAGCTAGCAGGGTTCTCCTCTCCTGCTCTCCGCGGCTCCGACTGGGCGGAGGAGCCGTCCGCCCCCGGCAGGTTTGACCATTTTCTTTTTGATTATGATTTTTTTTTTTAGTATCCGGAGTTGTTTCTTTTTTCTTGTTTTTGTTTGAATGGTTGGATTTCCCCCTATGGATTTAGTTCTTTGCTCTCGTACGCTCTTCAAGCCGAGAAAGAAGGGGGAACTGCTGCTCCCCACCCCCCTCCACACACTTTTTTTTTTTTTTTTTTTCATTTTAAGCTTTCCCCTGTGCTTGTTCTCCGGGGATTTTGCAGCGGCGGGCAAGGAGGTTGCTCTCTGCGGTTGCCCGAGGCTGGCCCCTTCCCATCTTGCTGCAGAGACCCAGATGCCCGCTCGTCCCGGCGCTGCGGTGATGGGCGTTTCGCCCTGTCTCTCCTCGGCCGCGGACCGAGCAGCCCCACAGGCTTGGGTCTGGCCGGCCTCAGCTCCGCGTCAGTCCATGTGGCCCCCCTTCTCTTCCCTTCCCTTCCTTTCGTCCCCTTCCCTCCCCGCCCTTCCCCTGCTCTGACTCCCCCCTCTCTTCCTTTTGTCATTGGCAACCGCGCGGCGTGCGGCTCCCGCGCCCTTCCCTCCCCGCCTGCCTTTCCTTTCCCCACCTCCTGCCTTTCTAACGCTCTTGCTTTGTCTGTTTTCCAGGCGGCCGCACGCAGGAGCTGCGGTGCCGAGGAGGGTCGGAGCCGTCTGCCCAGTTTGCCCCCAGATGCCCCGGCAAGCTACAGGAAAATCTCTGGGAAGCACAGCTCGCCGCAGGAGCCCGGGCGCCGCCGCAGGCAGCCGCAGCACATCCCGCTTCGCCTCCTCTCTCTCTCCCGGGCCCTGGGGCCGAGGAAGCAATCGAGGTCAGCCGCCCAGTTCCCGGGGTCCGACCGTGGTACAGCCCGCAGGGTGATGCAAGGTGCCCGGCTGCTCCGCTCCTCCCTGGCGCGCCATCGTTACCGAAAAGGAATGGTCCCCGTCCTGAGCGGTGAAAGATGGCAAAAAGCGTAATAATAATAAAAAAAGCTTAGGCTGATTTTATTTTTAAAACATTATTGTAATGACTTCACCCCTCATTTCCTCACTCGCCAGTTCAGTGTAGGCAGGCCAGATGGGCTGCCCAGACCCTCCCGGGAAAGGGGCAGGTGCGAGTGAGTTAAATTTTTTTCCGCTTTACAAAGAAAGATGACACGTCCTGCCCTTTCATTTTTCATCGCCGAAAGACCCCCTCTCCCCCTCCTTCCCCCGGCCGAGAGGAGCGGGGATGCTCTGGGGGTGAGGGCTCCTCCCGCCCGTGCTCCAGGGAAGCCGCAGGACCAGGCGGACCGAGGCAGCGGGAAAGAACGGTCATCCCCTTGAGCCAGGGATGCCAAATCACAGACGTCGAGTCGGGGAGAGCCAGCTCCTGTGTTTAAAATCACTCGAAGACGCTGGTGAAATTAAAGCAGTCACCTGGAAATGTGTAGTAGGCACACGCTTAATTTCTCTCCCTATTTTTTTTTTTTTTTAATCCATTAAGTACATATTTAACAGCTTCCTGAGCACTGCAAACAACAGACGGGCTAGTAAGAAAATTCGAGCATGAGTTATATGCAGCCCGGGCCAGGATGGGACTAGGGCAGAGCGAAATCACCGGGTTTTTTTTCGGGGATCAGTTGCTGTTCTGCTTCCAGAGAGAGAGAGAGAGTGCGAGCGCTCTAAGGCTCTGACTCTCCGTGTTCACAGCGGACCTTGATTTAATGTCATACAATTAAGGCACGCGGTGAATGCCAAGAGCGGATCCTCAAAGCAGCATGAAAGATCTCGCTAGAACATACCATAACAAAAACGTTAATAATAAAAGTAATAGAAAACTGAACATTACAAAAAAAAAAATAAAAAGGAGAGACATAGTAATAAAGAGCTCGACAACCTGTACTCACCTACGGAAACCGAGACTAACTAGGACTGGCGTACTGATCGGCTCAGCCCAGTGGAGAGGAGATGTCGCTGCCACGGGACGGGCGCCCGCGGGGGCAGCTGTCATCAGCAGGTAACGGGGCCGTGGGGGACTACTGGAACGGTGGGGTAGTCGTGGTGGTTTTTCAAGGTAGTGGTGACTCGACCTCTTGCTTTCTTGGGCTGAACCATGTAAAGTCGATTAATGGGAAATAAATACATTTTCTAATATTATCATCGCGAGGATTGTTCTTTGCGCATCACCGAGCCGGTAGCTAGGAGTGCCCTCTCGGTAATGGCTCCTCCTCTTGCGGGGCTCCTCTGGAAGCCGAGGAACGCGGGCCCCGGGGCAGCGGAGCGGTGCGCGGGCGGCAGCGGAGCATCGTCTGTGCCGCGGGCCGGCAGAGCCATGTGCGGCGCTGGTGGATGGGTTCGGGGGGTGCTGGAGGTGCGGCGGGGACACTGCAGCAGAGCCGTGTGCGGAGAGGCAGCCGGGATGCGCGAAGAGGAGTGTGCGGCTGTTGCGAAGGGGGAGTGGGGGAGAGTAGCATACGGGGACGGTGTGGGGAGAGCGGCGCGGAGCGGTGCCGGCGGGCAGCGAAGCGGTGTGCGGGTTTTGTGCGCAAGGAGGCGGCTTGAGAGAGCGGAGCGCGGGGGTGGCGGGGTAGTGTGTGCGGGGCAGTTTACGCGAAGGAGAGGGCGGCGGGGCGGCGGTGGCAGCTCGGCGTGCGCGGGGGTTGGGGCGTGTGCGGCCGGGGCACCGGAGAGGTGGCTCCGGTGGAGGCTACGAAGTGGTGGGGCCACGCCGGCGGGGGCGGGTGCGGGGGGGGGCGGGGGCGGGGACAGGAGAGGCCGGGGTCTCAGCGCTGTCGGCGGCGGAAGTCTTTGTTCCGCGGGGCCTCGGAACAAAGGAGTGGAGGGACCGCGAAGGGGCCAGGTGGGGGCCGGGACCGCGGCGGCAACCAGACCACATGTTCCCGGTCGTGCAGGCATGTCCCGGTGGCACTGGGTGGTCCTCGTGATGGGAGCGTTCCCGACGGAAGAAAACCTAGTATCCATGAGGGTACGGCAGGAGAGCGGCTTGGCCTGTGCCTTCGTGTGTGCGCAGTGCACAGCCGCTGCCCCGGCGGAGTCTCCCGGCGCATCCCTCCCGTCGAGTCCTTCCCACCCCCACTCTGAAACAGCCAGGTTGGAAACAGGTCCTGCGGGGGCTCTGTCACGCTCCCGTCCCGGCTCCGTTCGCGGCCATCTGCCACGGCCTAATTCTACTCTGCCGTCTATCAAACGGCAGCCACAGCCAGCCAGGGCAGGGGATGCTCTTAAACACTAAATAAGGCAAAACAACTAAGAAACAGCAATAACTACAAGAACTATAATGATAACAACACCATCTGCCTGAAGGTCGTAGAGCTTTGTCCTCTTTCCTATTGCGATCAGGAGACAGCGCTGACTGCAGCGAGTTTTTTACCAAAAACTGGATTGCAAATTGGACTGATCACCCTTCTCTGCAAAGGGATAGAAGAGGAGAAATCCTGCTTTTCCCCCAGCCTCTTCATTTCCTTGTAATCATCCTTGCGCTGTCCAGTAGACAGATGAAGTACATGGGCTACTCCATCCTTTTTCTTCAGCTCAGCAAGCTGGGGACGAGTCTTTCTCAACACACTGCCTGCTCCTGCCACACCACGTAGTTTCTCTCATTTCTTGTTTTTGAGATGCCTGTTCACATATATACATCTATCTGCACGCACATATGCACATTTGCACATTTTCTATGTACATTCAGATTGCCCTAATTTCTATTTATCATTTCTTCTTGTTTATGTGTCTTTTGTAAGACCCAGCACTTCGCAGGATCTCAGGAGAGCCATGCAGAAAACAGAGAAAAGTCCATCTTCACCTGCTCATGTGTGGGCCAGGATGATGCACAGCTGAGATTAACCCTCATGCAGGTAGAGAGCAGGGAGGTCTTTTAAATGTGTTGTGTCCTGAGCAAGCTGAAGGACTCAGCTAAACTCTGCAGGATTACAAATGTGAACTGACTGCCCCTGCACCAAGGCATTATCTCCACCATACCTCACTTCTTCTGGTTTTCTCGGAAATCAATGCTAAAGATTTGGTATAAACATTCCGTACTTCCATAGCAAAAGAAACATAAATATTTAAGTGAACCTGCTACTGCCAATCTCTCAATGTAGTTTTAAAAATATTTCTTAATGCTTGGAAAGAAATGGAACTGTGGAATAGATGGAGGTTTCCTGGAAAGCTTCCAGAAACAGGGAACCTTCCTACTTCTAATCTACAGTATCAATAATAACGGTGGTTATGATGATGATGGAGCACCAAAAAAGTGGATGTAAGGAAGGTCTGAAGAGCCAGGTGATGAACTGTGCCATCCAGAGCCATGTGTTTCCCCTCCCGATGTCACGTTGCTGCCGTAGGCGCGTTGAGGTCTCGGTGGTGGCATCTGAAAGTAACCTGCATTTAATATTTACCACTTGCCTTCTTACTCCAAAAATAGAACAAAACCCCTGCTCTCAGCAATTTTTCTTGGGAGTAGTCTGATTTCCAAGGCTGCTCACGGGCAGGGAGCACTGCCTACCAACCTCTCCTTGAGTTAGAAGACACTCACGGCTTCCCACCGCCCCCCTACCCCCGGCTTTTTTTTTTTAATTGTTTTTCGGTTTTTCCTCCTTAAGCAACTCCTGCCCGGAACCAGGGGGGCAGAGCCTGGCCCCAGGACGGCCCCGGGCGCAGCGCCGGTGGGGCCGGCCGGGATGCGGGATGCGGGATGCGGGACGATGGGTCTCCTCCGCCGGTGCGGCCGCGACCCCTGGCGGCCGCGCCGGAGCAGCGCCCAGCGCAGCGCAAGTTCCGCGCAAGCCCCGCTCAAACCCAGCGCGGCAGGACGCGGGAAGCGTCAAGTGCGAACAGTTTAGAGGCAATTGTTCCGGATCAAAAATAGCTTGAAAAAAAAATGTCATTCTAAAATGTTTTGCAAGGTAGGGAGTGAGAAGCGAACTTTTCGTGCCTCCCCAGTGGGAAACAAGGCTATCTGTCTCGTGTAAATTCAGGTCTGTACAGTATCTGTGACACGAAAATATGAAGGGAAATGAGCTACTACCTGCTTACTGCAGCTGTTGAGGCAGTCTGGGGCAGCAGTTTCACTCAGGGACAAATGGTCCTACTATAGCAAGAGGCAGACTTGAGGTATTGTCCAGTTTACAGACATAGACCAGTCATTTTTTGAAAGTTAAAATCTAGCGTTTGAATCAGGATAATTAAATGCCAACATTTCATTTTGTTTCACTTGTCATGTACTCAGAGTGGTGGCTAAGAAAGGTGTAGAGCACAGGTAAGTCAGGCAATAAGCAAAACAAACCCTCAGTCAGAACAAGCACTGTCCCACTGTCTCCACCCTGCAGAGATGTTCCAGCAGCAGGATCTTCCAACTGAGAGAAGCAGAGGAGAAGCAACGTGTCTGGTGCTTCAAGGCCTACTGCACAGCAATGACTGCCACAGGCAGGAAAGTGGATGAGCCAGCCAGCAAGGTATGTCATGAGATTAATTTTCACACTCTGCACAAAATTCTTCACATTTCTTTTGTATTGCTTAGCTCCTCTGGTACTGATAAATTACCACAATAACTGAGGAGTGAGATAATAGAGATAGTAATTTGCAGTCTAATGTAAATTAATTTTTATTTAATCAGGAACTGCTTTAATAGCATGGTGGGTATTAAGAGTACCGCACTACTCAATGCTAAATATTTATGTGCCTGAAGTAGTCTTATAAAAACCTGACTAGAGAAGTCCCACAGTCAGAAAACAGGGAAGAATACCAGATCTTAAATATGTTGCTAGCATAAAATATTTTAAATTATAAATCAAGGACAATTTAATTAACACTAGAGACCTGTTAAATTAACTTTGTGTACTGTTCGTTCTAAGATTGTTTTATAATTTGCCATATTAAAGTAATTCTGTTTATAAGGCAGTGAAGTAGAAGTTGCATGTTAAATAATATTAACTAAATACAAGTTAATACCTGTACAATAGTACTTATGATTTAATCTGAAGTTGTTAACTCCATCACTAATAGGTTTTGTTTAAGTTTTTGGTACAAGAAAATGCAAGATGAAATACTCTGTTTACAGTAACTAACTAGTGTGTATTTGAACTGATCTTAATGAATGCAGCTGGCAAAGAAGTTAATAAGCAAGACAATGCCATTATTTTCTTAGAAATTTAAACAGAGAATTACATAATTATTTGAAGCATTATTACAGTACTTGGAACATGGAAAAACCTGACAGACATAGGTCTTTTCAACTTCAGAGGGTTATGACCCAGCACTGTGATGTCATTTGGTACAACCTTTATAAAACAACTATTCAGTCTTTTCTGAACCTAAAACTTATTCCATACATGATTCCTAGATCACAGACTAGATCTACGAGAGTTATTGAAAGTATTTTCAGACCATTTAAACCATTATTATTTGATTTACTGTTATATGTCCAATGTATGAGACAATCAACTGAGAGAACATTTTTTTAATGAATGTACAGGTCTCTGTAAAAAGCTCTTACCTTCACATTGTCATTTTTCAAACCTAATTAAGAACTTTTTGCTATTTGTCCTTTCCTTAGATAATATATGGTCAGCCTACTAATATTTGTGGATAAAATGAAAAGAGCAGCTGTGACAGGAAAACTAAAGGTACAGCCTTTAAATTTTTACCATCGACACTTCCAAGTAATCTGCCAGACTGGGTGAAGTTCATTAAAAATCAAGGGCACAACTTCTTTCAAATTAGAAAAATTTGAATATATCTGACTCCTATTACATTGAACAGAGGAATAAAAAAATTATGTTGCTGTCACTAATTAAAGCAATAATTAGTGAGATGTTGACCTATTTTAAAGATTTATAGTTCTCATCTCTCCTCTACAGAGGATTCTAAAGGCCAATCAGAATAAATAATTTCCTTGAAAAGAGTGCCAAAATCCCAAAAGAAAACAGAAAAATCAGTGGGTTTTTCTTCTTTGCATTTCTTTTGCTCAGTTTCAAACAATTAAAATGTCGGGTTCCTCACATTAGTCAAACCGGTGACATCAGCTGCAGATTTCAGGTCACGAGTATTTAAGAAATACATAGAAACCTCTCAGGCAAAAAGCAAGTGGTAATTTTATCTTGGTAAGTATAAAATCAGAACAATATATGTGCCTGTTCAGATAGATCTTCTGCACATATATGTTCACAAACTTAATTTCAGTAAGCTTGACTTTTTAGCAAGACATTGAACTCTTAGACCAAGAGTCATGTTTAAACACGCATGGTGAAGATTTGCAGCACATAGGGTGCAACACACATTTCAAAAGGAATTCCATCCTTCCGTAAACGAAGTCTTGATTTAGGATGGCGCAGCTGCACACACTGCAGTCCCCAGCTGTGCTTCAGATCCACAGCTCTGTACTGGAATACGAGCCCCGCGAACTGCCAGGACAGGACAAACACTTTGGGACTGCTGAATCCCTTTGAACTGAAGGTTCATACTACTCACACAGCAATGGCTCTGACCAAGGTCAGTGTTCACACTATACTCTCAGTGCAGTCAATTAAATGCATCCAAGCGCTTCCTAATAACATATGTGCAATAAAAATAGAGCATTAATCCTGCATAAAGAGAAATAATACATAATAATAGCGGAGTTGGCCCAGAAACACTTTTCTGTATCTATGAAAAATGTAGGACTCCTGGAATATTGTGTGAGACAGAACACAATTACTTTAAGGACTGGGAATAACAGAAATAGAGCAAAATGTCATTTGAGAACATGGAACATCACACTCTGGAATAAATGAAACTTTTTCATGTTGTTAGTTAGGACTATGAGTGTCTGGAAGCAGAGGGAGGAAGAGGACTTGGGATATTATTTTGTTGCATAATATCAGTATGCCAGGTGTGTGATATACACCTGAAAAAAAAAAAAAAAGCTAGTGGGGTACTATTAGAGGAAATTATTTTATGCTGTAACCCTGTATGTAGGCAAGCCTTCATTGGGATTATGTTGCCTCATTAATTGTGGTCAAGCAAAAGGCTACCACAATAGCAAAAAGGATGAAGAATCTCCAGTCATGAGCTGATCACAACAGCTTGATTTGTCAGCTCAGCAAAGTGGAGTCAGAGGGGAGGTATGACAGCTCTTGGCAAATACCAGAGAAGAAACAATGCTAGGATAGACAAAGAAGTAATTCTACTACTAGGATGCTAGTACTAGTGTTACCTTGAAAAAATTCCAAAACCCTAACCTAGGCATAAAGGGAAGTAAATTAATAAATAGCCTTCTCATAAGTTGGTGGAGGACAAGAAAAAATTATTTTAAGAGTGAGTAACTGAATTCATTTACTAGGAAGAGTATTCTGACTATTTTCTACTGAAATCTTAAAAAAAAAAAAAAAAAAAAGAAAAAAATAAAATAGATCTCAGCCTGGATCAAAAAAAATATTTCATGTGTATTTAGGAGCTCAAAATCTAGGACAGTTGTAAAATAAGAGCATGTTTTGAAAGGGAATGAGAAAAAGAATGAGAACAAAAGAGAAAGTGAAAGAGGAAGAGAGAAAGAAACAAGGAGAAATAAAGAGAAACAGAAAAAAAACTGAGAAAAGGAAGGAAGAGAAGTATTTTCAAATAAAAGACAATGTTCACAACAAGGTGTTTTAATCCATTCATTCAAGGTGAATTTTTGAATTGGGTAAATTAACAAAACGTACAATTTCACTGCTTGGTTTCAATGAATCAGCAATTTTTTTCTTGCAAATATTAAAAAATCCTAAGTGCACTGCTATATGAATAACCTGTGTTCTTCTTCGAAGTGTTCCTTCTGTCACTATGCAAAACTTGCATAATAAGATACACTTTAATATGTCAATAATACTGTCAGCTTACAGGAACAGAAAATCCGGGTATGTTATGGCTGTGCTAAAATTATTGGAAATAAATTCTCTAAATCAAGGGATTCAAAAGCTTTTCTCTTTTTTTCTACTTTTTTTGATTTTAAGCAAAGAGATAAGGCAAATGCAAAGATGACTTGTTTATAGGTTTTGTAGATTGACAGAACATTTAGCAAGGTTTATGATTTGGAACACAGATGCACTGTTTTTCTCTGCATGGTGATTTGTGTACAGGTATACAGAGATTAAAAATATGAATAAATAAATGCACCCCGGATACCAACTTTATTAACAATAATCCATTTTCAAACAATTAGCAGTCCATAAAGGCATGTTACATCACGTTATAAATTTCAGCAATTTATAAACTTTTTTCCTTTTTTTTTCTTTTTTTTCTTTTTTTTTTAATTTTCTTTCAACTTTGAAGACAAAGAACACATCAGAGAAAAGTCACCTAAGGATGCAAAATCTTAAGGAAATCCTAAATACAGGAAAAGAAGAAGTTAGAAATGAAAACACCTGTTTTTACCATCTTAAACTACAAAAAAACCACTGTCACCTTTGCAGACACAACACATGAGCCTGTAGGATGTGGATGTGAAGGAATAAAGACTACCTAATCTCACCTGCATGGAAACTGTGAAAATACCTGGAAAATCTGGAGGATACTGAGCCGAGCATTTATTAGGAAGATTGCCACTGATTCTGAGTAGAAACAAAGAAAGAGTTCCATTCAAACTTAAGTGAAGAGAAATAATTCGGCAACTTCAGAAGTTTACATAGCAATACAGAGAAGCACAGAAAGGAGTCAAATAGTTCAAAGTACAATATAAGTTTGAAAAGTACTTTTTTTTTTAAATTTATAATGCATTTTCTTCAGTTGCCTGTGCTCATCCTTTTGTGTTCAGCTTAAGACATTTGTGCAAACAAGCTTCTTTAACATTTTGTGAACAAACACAGAAATTGCTAGATTTTTATGTCTCCACATGCACATGGTTTCGTTCAATTTATTCAAGCACTCACCCTCTCAGAAAGTAAGAACAATTTTGTCCAGCAAGCAAGAACTACAGACAGGTCCCGAGTGATTAACGGATGCCTTTGAAGAACCTTTTTCTGGTGAAAACTTGTCAGCAGAAGATGTGTTTGTCGGACTCCTGACTGCAGCATATTTCTTCCTTGAGCCACACGAAGTAGGATGAAGGGCAGAGGAGATAGCGATTTGGGATAAACCTGGAGCACTGGGACTACAGTTCCAGCCCAAAGCCTAACTTGAAGGAGGGGATATGACAGTCTGAAAAGGAACAGGAGGACAAATCCTTTCTTCTTCTAATGTATGCCCAGATTTGGAACTTAGAAAGACCAATAAAGGCAAGCAGTAGCTAAGTACAGGCAGGAAAAGGCAATAACAACTCATTTGAAGCAATTACAAATATCAGAGCTAAATCAGAAAAGCCCTACCAGTGAAAGACGGCTGATCTTTTGAAATGCTCCTGAAAAATCCCTGCAAAATAGGCACTAGAAAGTTGGCTTTGAATCTGCTAGACTTACAGAGAAACACCAAATTATTGCATCACATATAGACTCCTTACCTAATGCAATACAAGTCAATGTAACACACACAAGTATTCCATATTTCCTCATCCAAAACTCTACATTTCCCTGTCATGTTTCAGGGTTTGCATCCTGTAGCACATGATTCCTACATTTTCCTTAATTTTAGAAACCTAGCAACCTAGTCATACTAGCAACCTCTCTTCTGTCTGAGAAGGATAAGGCGTTGTTTTAACCATCGACACTGCTCAGCGCTAGGAATAAAGCTGGATGAAATGAACATTCTACCCCTAGGGGATATGGATTGGAGCTGGAATGCCCAAGTTGCATACAGAGTTGCCATGTCCTTCTGTCCTTCCTGAGAGCTGATGCATGTAGAAACTGATTATATTGGTAGAAAGGGATTAGCAGACACCACACTAACAGATCATGCTTTCTGAAGGTTCTAGAGGAAAAACTAAGGAGAGATAGAGAGGTTCTGGAGACCAAATTTAGTGGAATTGAATTCCCTGCTTTTTCAGTTTGCCTAACAGTGAGAAAAAGTATAGTGAAATAGGTATCTTAACAGGGTCAAAAATTGTCTGAGCTCTCCCAAACAAGCAGCTTCAGAAAAACAAAATCGTGGAAAATGCACAGTAAGAACTTGAGAATTTATCAAGATGAATACAGAAAACTGATCTGACACTCTGTACTTAAAAATCTTCTATATTCTGGCTTCTGATTACAAATTATTTAAAAAGTGTTTGGAAAACATCATCACTTGTGGCAAAAAAATCTGTATCTCTAAGGAGATCACAGATTTGTAGACAGTATCCTAATTTATTATCTCAGCATACCACCTCAGGGGTACCCAGCTGCTGGCAAAAGTGATTTTAAGATTTTATTCACCCAGTTTTCTTTCATTTTTTTTTCCTCCAAATATGATTCAATAGGTTTGACTACCCTTCCTCCAGGCAGCTCCCAGGAGAGCTAGTGAAGACAGCATGGTACGGCAGGGTCTGCAGAACCACACCAGTAGCCTCAGACACTCTCAGCAATTCAGCCAGACAACTAGTATCTAAATTCAATAATATTCACAATCTTCCACCTGATGACTGGTTTTCACCATGGAGAACTCCAGGGATGGTCACTTGCTGGTAAGCCCACCTTTTAGTGCTAGTACTCAGTCTAGGCTTCAGCGACTACCTATTCAAAGCTCTCGAGACGCGCCTACCCTGGCAGGAGCAGAGAAGCACTGTACACATCATCCAGCCCTTTGGCAGGTTGTGTCCCCAGTGCTGGGGTTTGGGAAGCATCAGTACAGCTTATTTAGGTTCCAGCTGAAGTTTCTCAATTCCCAGTGTAAGAAAGCTGTGACCACCCCAGTACTGGTTATTAGAGAAGCTCTCTCATTCAAAGTCATTAAGTATTCTTGCAGGTCAAGCACTGGCAAGGTAGACGAGCAACGTTACAAACATTACATTTTCAGGATCTAATTCATGTGATTCTCTCTACTGCTATCTATTACTTATATGATACAACTGTTTTTATAGCAAAGTAGGGCCAGTAGGGACTACTTAATTGGGATAGTCTAACATACAGACAATTGTTCAAACCACAAATTATCTAAATTTTGTATAGGTAGAGATGGATCTTAAGAGCTCTATAGGCATCAGAGCTGTTAAAAAACTTCTAAGGGGGGCTTTGGGAACTAGATGGGCATAGTCAGAAAATCCAGAAATTCACAACGAAGAACTCTCCCAGTTCACTTTAACATTGCGATAAACTGCTCAGCCTGTGATTTTTTCCCTTTTTGTTACTAGTGGGGCTGAAAGTGTTTCAGAAGGGAGATACTTGGAAAACTTGGTCAAGCATGTTGTTGGGAAGTACTATTGTATAGTCAAATTTTCCTGCCAGGGCCCTCCTGCTTGATGCTACAACACTATGTTTGCAAGCTACATGCTTATTTATTTCCGTGTGTTACATTTGGACATCATGTGCATATAGTGTGTGTATATATATATATATATACACATATGTGCATATATATATATACACATACTTTTATGACACATCTACTGAAACGAAGGGATCTCGGGAAGAGAGAAACTTTAAAATATCACATTTACAGAAGAAGAAAAGATAAAAACTTCCAAAAAACTTAATTCTATATGCTTTTTAATTGTTCCTTTCACCAAGGTAAAAGTGCTTTCACTATACTCAACCTATTAAAGTCTGAAGACATCCTTGGTGTTTACTTCTAGTTCTAATCCAGCTCCTTTGTTACTGAACCAGTTCAGAAAAGCATTTAAACATACACTTAAGTACATTCTTAATGTTAAATGACTTCCTGAATCGGTCTAATAATTTAAAGTAATATTAATAAACATTATTTAATAAACAATTCCATTTAATATCTGTTAACAATGCAGTGCTGCTCTCATATTCTTTCACGTTTCCCTACTTTTACTACTAATAGTAGTACCAGTAATCAGATGCAGAAAGTTGCTTCATGCTTTTGATAGTCAAGGCTTAATGGCTTTGAAGAGGCTCATTTTCAGAAGCAGACCACTTCAGAAAATCAGGTTCTTGACCCTACATCAGTAATTTTTTGGGCAAACTTGACTTGCTCCTCTAGGTAAACTCTTATATCCATAGCAACACACAAAGGCTTCCAGTTGGACTCTGTGGTTTTGTAACTATTGCCTTGTGAATAGTTGTTGGAAATGATCACAGCTGGTATGTGCATATGATCATGCACACATCTCTGTGTGTGTGTGTGTGTGTGTGTGTGTGTGTGAGGTACAAAGTGATGTTTGCAAATACAAAGTGTCCTGTCTTCTTCTCTTTCCTCAAATCTCAGTCAGACAAGTTTCCACGAGTAAATAGATTTTCCTAAAACACTCTCCACCAAATATCTTTCTTTTCCGCAAAAAGCACGTGTGTTAAATTCACTAATGGGACAAATTCTGTGGCCAAGTGCTTCAGCAGTGGTACAGCAGAACAACTGTGGAGACAGTGCAGGAGGGAGAAGGACGATACACCAGCATTGCACTCTGATGCCAACCCAATGATCCCGGGTGTGCTCCAACACAGGGTTGGGTATTACTGTTCCTGACAGTATGAGGATGAGAGCATTTCCACTTTCTCCATCAATTACCCCAGCCACGCACCCCCTCTCTCCCACTACTCTCTCAGCTCTGGAGCTGCAATGGGAATCTCCTGTTTCAAGGCCTACTCATAACCTTCAGGGCGCCAGTGAAATCCAGAAATTTTTCTCCTATATTTCAGCAAATGCTACCACAAGTTGTACTTGCACAAGGACAAAAACACAAGGAAGAAATAAGCAACAGGAAACTGTGTAAGGGGATGGGAAAAAAACAACACTGTTACTGTTTTTGGCACATAATGCCTTTTAATACAAAGCTTGATAACTGGTCACACTTTACAATGGCCCAGGAACTACCCAGAAGCTCCTAAGTGGCATAATTTAACAAATGCCCTGAAGAATAGGCTTAGTTCAGAAGTGCTCTGAAGAAAAAAAAATTGAAATGCATTTGATATGTAAATCTAACCAGCAAGCAGAGCTGCTTACAGAGCCATACAAAAGGGATTTATCCTCTTTTAGATTCCTGGCTTTATAATGGCAGTGGTGATCTTAGGGACATCCCTAGTCAACTTCAGAACTCCATATTTGGTATAAATATGCTAGCTTAATAAAGTGAGGCTGACGAAAAGAAATTGAAAAAAAAAAAGTGCTAAGATTTCCAAATTCATCCTTTTTTCATATCAGAGAAAAAAATTACACTTCTCATATGTTACTGGGGATGGTGTGTGAAGTGGGATGAAGCCACCATACAGACATACACACACCCAAGAGAGCATCTTCCTCCTGCAGTCTTGCTGCTACAATTTTCTCAAACCCAAAACAGCCTCTCTCCTCTCAGAAGTGGAAAAGAAACATACCATTCCAAACCATGGTTAGTCTGATGTTGTAGCTACTCATGTAGCCTCTCCTGTGACAAGGACAACATTTGGCAAGTCCTTGTCTCTCGAGAAGCTGCGTTTAGTTTGTGGCACTGCCACAAAAGTAGACTGTAAACACAGAACTTCTACTTAACACACCAATAAAAATCCCAACCTAAAAATGTTCCAGATGACGTTGATCCAATATTCCTCCTACACACACAAAGCCTAAGATTGCCATAAGGACTGCTCTTCATTAAATTTTCATTAAATGGACTGTTACAATAAATAAGCAAATTACTTCTTAGAACCACAGCACACGGTTCCAGTCAGAATAATGCAGAAGGTATGACTTGTATCAGGCAGATTTTCAATCCTATTACCAAAACTATCAATCATGTCTTGTCTAACAAGAATCCTTCAACATTATCATTTCAGTGTTATTTATACAATTTATAATTTAATACACATTATAATTTAATGTTACAAGGAATGCAGATTGGCTTTAAGTTGTCTTCTTTATGCAGAAGAAATTTTGTGTTGATGTACCTGTATGCATCTCTACTGACTTCAGTCAAATTTGCAGGAAGATGTAAACAAGATAAATGTTGTCTGGAGTAACATGAGCTAACCAAAGCCTCACTTGTAGACTAAGGGTCTATTTCCCAGCTTCTTTTGGTCTCAAAAAGACAGAAAAAACAATATTCCTCTCATATTTTCATGGAAGAAGCCTCTGAGCTGGAGTTAAAATTCTCAGTCAAAACCAAAGAAAGTACTTGCCTCAGAGATGTTCTTCAGCTTTACTGGCAAACTCAATCAGGAAACCTCCTCAGATGAAGGTCTCAGAGGCAAAGCATTAGTTATCCCTCTAGCCTAAAATATCTAGTTAATCTCATACAAAACCACTAAAATCTGTCTATCAGATATGTTGAGAACACACAGGTTTATAGGCACTACAGATTTACAGTGCTTATGCACAGGGCCTACTCGCATTCTCTGGAGAACAGTTTTTTGAGGAGAAAAAGTAAGACAGTCTCCTGCTGTGGAGCTGAGATAAGTTTCATGTATAAGCCAACAAAATTAGAGCAGCATTTGCATTACCTTAATTTTCCCAGTATTGACCCCTTGCCTTTGAGCATGGGAATGCATGGCTAGGTTTTTGTTGTGATTGGCTTGTATAGACTGTGATATCTTGTAGATCATCAGCTCTCTAGCTGGCTACTGATGGGAAAAACTGTTTTCTTGTCAATCCCCTGTGAGTCCTGCAGTTTATCATAGCATGTGTCAATAGGATAACTCTGTCAAATGTTTCCAGTGAAAAAGTGGAAAAATACCTGTAAAACAGCTTGAGCACACACTTCAACTCTTTTAGTTGTGGAAGGTCCTTCAAAGCCAAGGTCTCTCCCTGCTAGGCACTGCATGTGTGGGTTACTCTTAAGGGCCTCTTGACTGCTGTCTTTAGATGAAAAAATATATAAAATTTAAAATTTGTGAGGAGTTGAAAGAAATTATGGTAAGTAGCAATTACAACCCAGTTCATTTATAGTCCTTGTAAGGTTACTTTGAGATGTCACAGAAGATACATGCCCTCTTGCTTGTACATCTGAGGAACAGATCTAGATCAGTGGGATTTCAGTGCAGGAGAGTGACCAAAGTAGATAATGTGGTCTTGCATTGCTCACCGACTTCTCATCCCTTTTTGATTAAACCAATTCATTTCCAGTCCTCTCCTTTCACTTCACCTGGCTTCCACCTGTTGAGTTCTGATTGATTTAAAGATGTACTTGAGCATCTAATGCATTCATGGGGTGTAATATTCTCAGGGTAAAATAATTCCTATTTTTAAGACTATGGGAGAAGCAAAAGCCCCCTTTAAAACAAACAAACACAAACATAAAAAGAAAATAAACCCCAAGATGTAATCCACCACACTCAGTTTCTGTAAGAGCTGAGATCACAGTCTCAGCTGAAAGAAAGCATTGGCAGGCAGGCAGGTAGGAACTAAACTTGTACCTCCTTTCCTTACACTACAAAGTGATTACCCCATTTAATTTAACTTGACAAATCCCGTAATTGTTAACCTTAATGGGTCTTTATATGGCCTATCCTTTCTCAGAGATAAAAATAAGGGTAATAGAGATGGACATGGCAACAGATTGGAGAGCCAGGAAGGTTTTCGCATGCCAGTACCCTAGGATGAACCATCACAATGCAGCACTACGGACATGAGCTTAGACATTTTCTAGGGAACCTAGAGCTGAGGGAGACATTTTGTCTTAAGGGTAAAACAAAACCAACTATGTATGGCAGTCTTTGTAAAATTAAAACAAATTAAAAATGTTCAGTGTCACGGTTTCCTGGGGTGATTATGAAACTACAGTTTTCCTGAGAGGTAAAAGGAACATCCTCCACTCAGTTCTGTAGTTTATCATTTGCATGAAAAGACAGAGATATTAGTCTTACCTAGACTTGGTGCCCCAAAAGGAGCAATTCATTCTCCCACCTACCTCTTGGGGAAGAACCTTTTCCCAGAGGTTCCTGTCTCTCTCTACCTGCTCTAGAGGAGCTCCAGCTCAGGCTGAGTGGTTTCTAGGCAGCTCAGGCCTGGCAAGGTGGATCCCAGTTTCCCTAACCCCCAACCCTAGGGTCACATCTAGGTGTAAAGACTTCAAGATTCAGGGCCATTACACTGGGCACAAATATAGGAAGATGCACTTTAGATTCCAGGGACAGAAGCTTAGTATATCTTCTAGTGCAATTTCTAAGCTGACAGTGCTGTCTTTGCTGCTTTAACAGCTTTTATGGAGATGTGGTCTCTGCAGCTACTGATAGGACAAGAACAATTTTCTTGGTATTGCATTCACAGCACTTCCTTTAGAGGAATTATGTCTTTTCCTGGTTTAAACAAATAAAATAGCATTTGGGCTACATGTTTCAGATGATTAAAACACATTCATTTGTGATACTGCTTATTCCCTGCAAGAGGGAGTGAATTTTTCGGATTATGCACATAGCTAAAAACCCATAAATTTTGTTATTCATATCCATAAGCAATATGGCAAGCTCGCAAAAGCTATTACTTTTCAGTTACACAAGTGTGTTAAATTACTCAGTCAACTGACATCTGGCATGAACTATAAATTGCTCTCAAAATTCTTTTAGAAAGATTATTATATTATTATTAATTTGCTGTGTATGTCAAAGCATATCACACACACAGCAATCCTGAAATTAATTAGCATTTTCAAGGATCACGCTGAAAAGGCCCAGAAAGCCAGCGGAAATAATCTCCAAGATACTAGCAGGTTAAGCAGTGCTGGCACAACTTGTCTTCAACGTATTTCCTTCAATTCATCTTTAAGAATAAAACACAAGAAACCTTTTTTAAACAAGCCCTTTGTCACACATATCCTTGACTATTCCAAATTAGGCTAAGGTTTCATTTGCAATTTATATTTATGAAAAACAAAGCATTTTGAAAAATGACAGCATTTTTTATGCATTTTTTACTCATTTACTTATTTCCAAATTTACTCATTTGGCAATTTAAAGCCACCCTGATAAGATACCCAGTTAAATAAAGGAACTCAGGGAACATCTTAACTACCTAAACATAATTTTGAACACAGGGCTCCTTTCTGGGTTTATGGTGGTCCTTCAAAATAACTAGATAGGAAAACAAAATAATATTTCAATAAAACTATAATTCAATAAAATTTCATTCAATGTAATTTTAAATAAAAAACATATTCAAATAATAAAGACAAGGTTAAATTCAACAATGTTTTATGAATTACTTTTGTGATTATTTTTCAGCACATGAGCAATCCTGATGAAATCTTATTGAAACCTTTTCTAGGTGCTTATTACAATTTTTCCCAGAAATACACCATGACATTTCACCCAAAGCCCCTCAACTGAAAGATCAAGAGCTACAGAAAAGAGTAGACACTTGAAGAACTTGGAATATGCTGGAATCACAGTTGTCTGGGAAGCCTCATTGCATCCTCCTTGAAGCACTGGCAGCACAGTCACAGAAATATCACATGAAATCCATTTTCCCAGTCATGACTGCAGCAGACAGCTCAGCAGGATGAAAGCAATACAGGAAATCCAAATTTGGAAGTTCCTGCTTCCAGGATTTTAGACTTTGCAAATTACCTCAAATGTATTTAGCGATGATCCTGGAATATGTTCTAGAAAGGAGGTGTTGAAAGCCCACTCACCAAGTTGGAAGCTTCACAGCATTTACCACCCATCTCTATGCACCACTGAGTATAATTTTACATGAATATAGAAAACATAACCTTTAAATAACTTAAGGACTATTAACTCTCTTCTACCCAGCAACTAAAATTTATATTTCCAGAAATATCATATTTGAGGGTTGACCATAACAAAAAACACCAGTGTTAGTTAAGCAATGCCAGTTTGCAGAATGAAAGCAACACCATTTTTGAGATCTCTGTACTTTGAGGGGTCTTTTTTTTCAAAGAAGTGAGGATAGGAACTAATTTCTCAATGGCTCTCCACAGCCTTTGCTTTGGATTTAAAAAAAGGAATGGTGATAAGCTTAAGACTGAAGTAAAAAAAAAGCCTTCAAAACTGGCATAACTCAGCATAATTGATACAGAAACACTTGCTTGGGTCCGCAGGAAGCCTGAGACCATGCCATAAAGTGAAACAACAAAGAAAAAAGATGTTTATTTCCTGAATCTCTTCTCTGAACAGCTAGTAGTGCAAATTACAAGTGGCACAGTCAGCAAGATGTCCACACTGCCTCTGTGTGTATGGAAACCAGAAGCCTTTCATCACTGTGGGGTTTATCTGCGTCACCTACTTGATGCAAACACAAGTATCCGAACTGGAGGCATTTTCTTTCCCCTGTGGGCCACTGTCTGTGTCAGTTGACACTACAGTGAGCTTAGGCTATGTCAAAATTAACACTTATACCCTGAAAGGAGTGGATACATACACTGAAACAGCTGGAGCCAAGAGCATCCATACCAAAAGTTTTGCGGGGGCTTTCCTCAGTCTAATCTCTAATCCTCATGCGGGGTCTGATTGCCTTAACACTTCTAGCAGATAAGGTGTGTTTGGAGAGTGACTTTGCGCTTCCTGAATAAGGATTTCTTCACCTCATCCTAAAGAAAACAATTTTGTGTGCTCTGAGACCACCCTGTGGTGCTTAGGTCGAAATATCACTTCTGATCCAAACTTAAACACTGGAACAGAGGTTCCTGTCCTGCAGGCTGTCAGAGGGAGCAAACAAGGAAACACTTGGACAACCTGAACATACTCTTTGGCTGTCAGCCTCGCATCCTCTTAAGCATACATAAATAAACTGGCTAATGCTGGGCCCGTCCTCACCTTCGAGGTGGATGTTCGGGGGAATGAAATTACGTTTCATTCTTCGGGAAGCCTTTTTTTTGACAGGCTGCCCCGCTGCCCAGCGCACGCGTGTTTTTGGACGCGGCACAGGCTTCTCAGGCTGCCCCCGGAGCAAAGCGCGGCCGGGACGAGCCCGCTTTGGGTGGCGGGGCGGCGGATGCACAGCCGGTCGCGGGGTGCCATCTAGTGACGGCCGCGGGCACGGCACCCACCGGCACGGCCCCGGCCGGGAGGGAAGCGCGGGACGCTTCGGACGCCTTTATATGTCTATAGGATTTACGTTTTCAAGCCACCATTCGAACATTGAATTAAGCGAAACGTTTGATTTTTATATACTCAAGTGATGCCAGGAGTCAGGGATTTTAAAAATGACCAAAAAAATTCCCTTCACAATCACAAAATCAGAAGAGTTTGTAATACTTTATCCGACTTAAAATTCAGGATTAGGGTAATCAAGTTAGTGTGGCCTTTTATAAGATTGTAAAATTATCCATCCATGGTCCCACACATTCAAGAAAGCCCTTCAAGTTGTTCTCCTATAAAGGTCAAAATAGCTGTACTTCACAGTAGTTTTCAATGAAGTTTGTAGCATTTTGCTATTTGTCTGACTGTCAGCAGTTATATTCATCCAGCAGCAGGCAAATACATTAAGAGAAGAAGGCAAAATTAGAGTCATGGAGAATTGAGAACTCAGCAGCTGTTTCCCCTTGAATTATCTACTTAGGAGTCCCTTCTCTGCATGCCTGACACGGGAACAAAAGAGGCTGCCGTCCCTCCTCCCAGCCGTGCCTGACAACCTATGACAGACTATCTGGCAAGCTGCAGATCCATTACTGGTTTACTGGGAAGGCTCAGGAGACATCTATGATGCCACTTTCAGGCAGGGCCCTACACCTGCTAAAAGGCTGGATAATTCCCATTCGGGCTCTTTGGTGAAAAGCCCTCTTGGGGCTCTCCATGTTTTATTTAGCATTTTCACGTCAAGTTGCTTCAAGTGACTGTACAAGGACACGAAGCATGTCTCTGTCTCTGGAGAGACGCATCTCCCGAGATCACCATGCACGGCCCTTCAGGATGTCCTGTCTTTCATATATAGCTCATCTCTCAGCTGGTTATGATGGGTAAGCTCTTTTGGCACTTTCTTCATCTGATCTGGACAACCCTGGAGTACACATGAGTTAACTTCCTGCAGCTCTGCATCCTGATTGACGCTTCTTTGCATCAACTGGATTCTCCCCTCAAGATATGAAAACCTTGTCACATGTTGACAGACCTTATTGTTCCATGGAATAACCTGAATTTTATTCTGAAAAAGATGCTTTGTCTCAGCCAACATAATTAACATGAGCAATGGCCTTTCTGGGCAAAACTCAAAGTTTTTCCAAAGTCGCAAAGTCATCCAAAGCAATTTTCTGTTCTTAGCTTTGAAATTCGAAGAATATGCTTTTATGTGAATTGTTATTTTGCTGTTTGCAAGAACCTAAAGAAAAGTGATCCAAGCTCTAATCATTAAAGCTGCTCAAGGATGACTGGAGAAAATAAAGGGAACAGCAAAAAGTGTGAAAAAATTCACCATTAAAAAGCAGAGAAGATTACAGAGTTCACGGAAATGATCAATTACTCAAAACCAGAAGCCAAACTAGGACTGTTTTTTCACTTTTGAACATCTGACAGACTTGCATGCAGAAAACATGGTATCACTCACTTGGCTCAGTGATGCTGCTTGGCCTCTGCAGCAGCAATGACATAGTTTGACTGGAAATATGAGTAGAAGACACCTTTCCTGGCTGCCTACAGGACAACAGTGCTGGTCATGCAGATAGCCAAGAGCCTGCCAACAAAATAACCTGCCAAGAGTCACTATGTGACAAAGTTGGGCTGCTACCATATTCACAGCTGAAGGCCAGATAGAATAGCATATGATGTGCCAGAAGCTAGGGATACTGCTTCTGCAGAAATATTTCCACCCAGAAGAGCAAAGTAAACTAAGGAGAAATCTTTCACTAACAATGACCCAAGAGAGATACACTCAGGTGAGGGGCTTCAGGTGCAACCCCATAATCACACAAAACAACTGCATGGTAATACTAGCCCCTTGAGGTTTTTGGTATTACTATCTTAAAGGATTTCAACCTTGCCAGCAGGGATTCAGAAGGATAAGTCAAGTATCTAGACCTAAGTTTCCAGAAATATTTCTGATTCTGATTTGCACAATTTTTAGGTATTCCTATATGAGGACCTGAAAGGGTCTCAAACACTCAACGGAGAAAGAACCTAGAGTCAAAAAAAATTACTGTGGATATATATATAGTCACATCGCAGATGACTTAAGTTATTTTTTCCCACAATTATCACAAAATTATCCTGATAATAATTGATGGCAAAGTTTAAACATCCTGAAACACATAGTCCCAGCAAATAATCCCACTTAAAACTCATTCTACCCAATTCAAGACTAGGTGATATATTATCAAAAACAAGCAAATAATCCCAATCTGCCTAATTTCTAACAGCAAATAGGGAGGGCTGAAGTTCCTCTCCAGCCTACACTGCATACCATTTTCCTCCAACGATTCACCCCAGAGACATCTTACCTTCTTTCCACCTTTCTTTTGTCTATGTGTTCATGTTCAGATGAAATGTCAGTCTATTTTAAACCACAGTTTATGCAAGTTTATGAACCTTTCAGTTCACCACACAGCACTTGAAAGGTCAGGCTCTAGGAGGATTCCAGTTTTCATCCTAGTTGCCCCTCCCTTGTGCCCCCTTTCTCCCTCCCCACCCCCCCTCCTCCTTATTTAATCAAGTCTGTAAAAAGAAAGTTCACAATGTGATAACTATGTTCATTTTGGTCACACCCCACCCAACCATATGCTGTTGTTTTTTAGCACACATGGAATTTTTGCACGCTAGCAATATGTTGGAGCTTTTTGGGCTTTAAGTGCTGAAATTAAATTACTTCTGGTGTGAAAACTGAAACCACCTCCAGCAACACGCAAGAATTTCTGAAGTTGTTGCAGA